CTTTGCTCTTGAGGATTTTAATTCTCAGGTAGGGGGAGATGAAGACAGGTGAAATTAGATGCCACATTTCATACATGTCGTCTGTTAAACTTCTCTCTTCCCAAAAGCAAAATAAACTTGTTATGCCTAATTAATTACTGCTCATCTTTTCCAAGAGCCAGCACAGAAACACACTAACTATACATGGCTCTTTCAGAGGGATGTATTCAGGGAATTAACAGAAGCTCTGCTGCTTACAGTGACCCAGGCAAGACTGGGGACTGCAGGGACTGCCTGAAGAGCTCTTCTGAACCTGCTCTGCCAGGGAGAACAGCCCAGCTAGAAGCTGATGAGTCAGGAGGCTCCCAGCCTCTCGTTGCCTTTGTATGGAATGGTTCTGCACAGAGGACATCCAGTCTATTACAAGCTATGTCAAGTTAACAGTGTCTTGAAATTTACCCTTTCACTTGCTGGTATTTAGAACAAATGTAGCCAGGCTGTGCCTAAAGAACATGGAAAACAGAAAATTTCATCCTCAAGCAGGCAGCCTGTTCAGGAAGAGCTCAGGGGAGAGGGGAGGAAGATGCAGTTACACCCAGTAATGAAATTCTTTATATGCTTTAGTGCTACAAATAATCAATAAGCTATCAGAGATGTGAAAAGATTTAATCAGAATATTTATTATACAGACACTCACAAGATATAAAGCACAATCCCAAACAACTGAGTATTCAAGGTTAATGAGCACTAGGGAAGTGTTTGGGCTAGACTCCATTGAGGAAATGCAAAAATCAAAGGAACAAAATACAGCAAGTTGCATTCAGCACAGGCCATTTCAGAGCATTTAAACAAATCCATACACTGGGCAATAATTTCTAAGTACTGGAATGGATCTTCCTTACCTCTCTCAAATGCATTTTTTATGTCATTCACTTCAACTTGTGACCCAGACACTCTGAATATCCCTTCATGCTGCAAACCTGTAAGACAGTAAGAGATGTTGCTAGTGATGAGATAAGATAAGCTGGCACCCTCAGCAGCTACAGCACGTGTGATAAAGGAGATGTGAGCAACACAGGCAAAAGTCTGCTCTTTAAAAAGCCATCTTTGCCTTCTATGTCCAGAATATGTAAAAACAACTCAGCACACAGAGAAAAAATATTAACCCTTCCTCACAAGCTGACAGAATAACTGGTCTGTAACAGCCACACGTGTTATCTTTTACCCTGAAGGATCCCCACGGGATTTTACAACCCAGAGAAAGCCATAAACTAACAATCTACCAGCCAGGAGTAAAATATGGCTACTTACACAAGGAAGCAGTTTATTTTGCAAAAGCAACACCACAAAGGCCCAGAGCAAATCAGCCCATTGAAACGGAAGCATTTAATTACCCCAGCAGGACCTGCTGTCTAGGGCTTCAGGACAGCCTTCAAAACATTCCAGCATCAGCAACATCATCCAAACCAACTACCAAGGAGGTGAATGTTCCAAGAGAGGAGCAGCAGAACCCTTTTGGTTGGTGTAAGATGAGCAACAACCATTACAAATCAACTAATGAAGCAAGTAGATGCCTCACACAGGGAAATCAGCTCACTCAAAGCCTTTGAAGTGCAGACTTTCTGAGCCAAGCACTGTGGCAATGTCTTTGCTGTGCTCCCTGACAGCCTGTCAGGCAGGTGGTTTGTCCTTTCTTCTGCCTACCAGGGGTTTGTGGTAGGAGAGCACAACCCTCCTGACTCCAAGCTGCACCTTCAACACCATGACCTGATGTCATGGTCTCAAACCAGCTGAATCTGTTGGAAAATCTTTCTGTTGGGGAGCCAAGCTGAGCCAGGAGCATGAGTCTGAACAATGAACTCTCCCAGTTTGTTGTGTGTCCATTTGCTTTGCAATGTGGTTGCTGTCATTTTTCCAGCAAACGTCCAAATTTGGCCCTAATGAAGGATTATAGCACTTGGTTCTTCCAAGTGATGATGAGAATGGGGCTCTAGATTATAGTTTCTAAAATGGTAATTAAGCAAAGAAAATTAAACAGGATCTACTATCTGGCTGTGCCTTGGTTAATGAAGATAAATTCAACCTCCTTCTACATATGTTAACTAACAGCTGCCTCACATGCTACTAACAAATGATATCAATTAAAAATGAAAACAAATTACAACAAACATATAAAAATCTTTTGCAGCATTCAAGGCTGTGAAGTTAACCTTTGAAACAAGACATAAATCATATCACTGAGGCAACATTTGCAAGGTCAGTATTTGGAAGTGATCACACACACAATACCAGCAATACAGCCCAAAAGTTGCTGCTTTCTCTATGCTTCAGTCTCCAGGGTTCCTTTGCACAAGCACCGTGTCCTGAGCTGCTCTGAACAGTTTTTTGGAGGCTTCTAAACCATTGTTCATGATTTAAACAGCAGAGGATACCTTTTGTCCATGAACTCACCATGTCTGCTGATGAATCGTATGCAGCTCTCCACGACCAGGGGAATGGCTTGTGAGGAATCCTGGGCAAAGAGAAATTGAAACAGGAGCAGTCAGAAAGTGGGGGGATGGTAAAAGTGGAGGAGAAAAAAAGAAAACACAAGAAAAAAAGAAAAAAGAATGGAAAGCAAAGTTGTGCCTTCCTCTGCCATGCTCTGCTTCCACACAGAGCAGAAGTATTCCACACTTCCAAAATTATGGTGTGATTAAAACTTCCAAGCTTCTGTTTATGTAAAGCCTTTTTCACAGTAGTTTTGGACAGCAATGCCTCTGATTTACATCAAAATGCTCATTGGCTTAGGATGCTACAGTTCCACACTTCAATCAATTCCAAAAGATGGCAGTCTTAAAAAAAAATTAAAAAAAAACCAGTCCAACCCTTTTCCTAACCTGTTTAGGCTTTGTGGGTTTTTTTCTTTTATTGAAATGTGAACTTGGTCATAGAGTGACAATAATTTCTCTACTAATTAGCCACAGCCAGTTAGAGCTAGTTTTCTATAAGCTGCACAGAACATCACCAGCCAATTAAGAACACTTCAGAAGCCACTCTGCCACTCAGCTGGCCCCTGGAGGCATATTTTATTAATAATCATCCAAACAACATTACAACCCCCCCAGACTTTGGAGTTGGGCTGACAGAGGAGCAGATATTCTGGGGCCCCAGCAGAGATGAAAACTCTCCAAAGCAGTTATGCTTTAAACTGTTAGGTCACAATCAAAAAGCCCCATTATAAGTGCATGGAAGTGATTTCATGCAGGTTACTGGGAGCTGTGGATTCAGGGTTTGCACAGATTAGCTTTTCATTTAGGTTTCCAAATCAGAGCTTCGAGTCACAATATGCTCCTGAGACACCTCAAAACCTACTTGTGAAAATGGCAACCAAGACACACACATTTCATTTGCAGCACAGAAAAGGAACAGTTTTAGAGCATAAATAAAAGAATAACAATTAAGCTCAGAAAATCAGAAAGGTTTAACTCTGTACAAACCCACAATTTGCTCTTATTTAATTTCCAATTATACAGAAAGCCTAAAAACTACAAAGCAGCACCCCAAGATAGACTGTACAAAACTAAATTCCAAGCCAAATTTTCTCTATACAGTATCAAGAAGAAATTTTTGGGGTTTTCTCTATCTCAAAGGAACACATTTTAGCTCATAAGGTACTAAAAAGTAACGGATTATCCACCACAGCCAGGGAAACAAAGCATCTCTGCTGTAAGCCTTTATTAAGAGAAGGAACAGCAAGCGAGCAGTTGCTGGTTTAATAGCACTGCAGTGGGATACCAGTGAAAAATAAAGGGAAAGGGGACAAAGAAACAAATGAAAATGAAACCCATAAACCATGACAGCCCAGACAGCTCAAGGCTGCTTGGCATTTCTGGTTCCAGCTCTGTCAAAACACAGAATAAAATGATTTTTAAGTTTTGTCAAAGAAAACGTATCAAGGCTGTGAATCTGTGTTTTATTGATTTCAGTGGCTGAACGAGCAGATACCAGTTCCACTTGGACAGGACTGAAAAGGTCCACGGGAGAGAGGGAGGGAAGGATAAAACCACTTCCCTGTTTTCCATCTATCCCCCTCTACACACAAGGGCTGTTCCTTAAGGAAATGTTCATTACCTGCTTCCTTATGGTGGAGCTGCGCCTGCCGCTGAGGGGATCAGAACCACCCGTGGTGCAGGAGGGAAAAACAAACAGAAAAGTCAAGATAATCCTCTACCATCATCATTTTGCTCCTTCCACATTCCAAACCACACGTATCTTGGAGGAGGGAAGGGGCCAGATAAAGAAGTCAATCAGAACGACTTAGTCTCATCCAATTTACCAACTTCAGAAAGATTTTAAAGTGACTTTAAATCACTAAAAAACCCAAAATAGACACCAGGGAGTCCAATGCTTTGACAGAAGATTACCCTTGACATTTTAATTCCAACCATATGGAAATCTGTCCTGTAGGGCTCCTTGTTGAAGGTGAAGTTGGTTATAAATTGCACACGGCTGTTCTTGGCCAAGGGGAGAAGCAGGTGGGAGCCCTGGGTCCTCCTGTGCCACGAGCAGCTGCCACTGGGGGGGGTCTCTTATCATTTCTGATAAGGATTCACAGAAATCAATAACACAACCCCCTCAAACACCAGCACCCAGGCTAAGCCTTTTCAGTATAAAGTGTGAAGGTCTCGTTTATTGATGTTGGTAGACATTAATTGCTGAAAAACAGGGGAAAGGTCTTGCTTTGCCAGGATTAACCCCCTCTAAATTTATTACTGGGGTTTAAAATTCCTATAGTTTGTTATAAAAACGAAGCATGAGAGATAATAGCAGAGAGACCCTAATGTATGCCTCAAGCCAATACTCTGCTAGGGCAGATGGCTGCTGAATTATAAATAAGGTGATTAGGAGTGTGATTTTTAAGAAGACTGTACAATGTGTTAATTCAGGGGAAATTCCTTTTATAAAACTCAAAAAACACTGAATGAAAAAAGAAAAAAAAATCAGATTCCATGGGCTGTCACAGACAATAAGGTCTATTTTAAACTATTAGCAGCAACGATTCTTTGATATTTAAAGTTGTTTCGTGATGAATAATATTTTATTATTACAGATGTCAGGCTCTAATTAGGACCTGTCAGCTTTGCTTTGCTGTAAGGAATGTGAAAAGTAGTAATGACTCCAGATCAGTAGCAATCACCTTGCTTTTGTTAGGAGGGCAGGATGATGCACAGCCCCTACTCCAGCTCCCCTCGAATCCATCAATTTGGAGGTGGTGATTTATTATGTTTTACAAAAAACCCCATCAGGAGAAGCTTAGTTATGGTTCTTTGATGGGTCCTAATTATAAATGAAAAGTTTATTCTCTGCCACCTCTCCACTGCTGCGATCCAGTCCCACAGCAGAGCAGAGGGCATCAAGAGGATGAAGAATTTTCCAGCTGATGCTCCTCAGCCTTGGACACCAACCACAACCACGCAGGAAAACCCCAGAGACACAAAGATACAAAACAAAGCCCATAAAAACCTTCCTTTGAAGAACACTTCTCTGAGTGACAGCACCAGATTCAGCAGTTTCTCACACTTGCCCATCCCCTTCCTGACCTGGATTAAATGCACTGGGCAAGAAGTGGTGCAAGACTTCCATATATATATATTTTTTCCCCCCTCTTTTGGTTATTTTTAACCCCACTCAGTCTCCCAGCCTGTTGCAACAGGCAGCTCTGCCAGCAGGTGTATGGTCCCAGCTGCAGGGGCTGCACAGGGCAGCAACAACCACGGAGAGGTGTTTAACAGGCACTACAGCACAAGGTACAGTCATTAATCAGCTAGCCAGAGGCTACTACACACTTCTATACGCTGAGCCACCACCTTGCACTGATGTAGGTAAGAGGGATGCTATTTAAAGCTGTATTAACTAGCAGAAATTTGCTTATGTGTTAGCTAAATGAGTCTGGTGACTGATCTAGAATGGCAGTGACTGATTTGCATCAGATTCCCCTTAAAAAATGATCCCCTGAGCCACACCTACCTGGCAAGGGAGCAGTCGGTCCGTTGACCTGTGAAGAAGACAAAGAAATATGGTGTTAGGAGAGAGGAATGGGAAAACACTTTGCAATGGCTTTTTCAAGCCAATTTTGGAAGGAGATGGAAGAAAAGAAACCCTTGGAGAGGGAGGGGGAGGCTGTGGGGAGCAGGACAGTGGCTGCTCCCCCAGGAACGCTGCCAGGGAGGCCACCAAAGCCCACCCCTGCCAGCCAGGGAATGCAGCGAAGGGCTCGGGCTGCCTGAGGACTCTTTCTTTGGAAAGCATTGTTTCTGAAAACTGTGCATTCTAATTGTTGACTTCTGCTGCCAAAAAAACTGGGCTTGTCAACCTCTCCCCTCCTTCCCCCTCCCCGGGGGCACTGGTGGGGCGAGAGATTGTACTTTATAAAGCCACTCAGTGAGACTGAAAACATTCACAGATTTGTTAGCCCACAGACTGAATGTGCTGGCATGAAGCTATTTTTGGGAGACAGACATTTAATGATATTTTCCACAAACACATTTATAAAACCATTCCATTAACTTGCACTGAGTTTGCAGGGAAGCTAATGCAGGCGTCACTGTGGAACAGCACAACGCCGAGGAAGGGACAGAAAACTAGTGGGTGCCTCTGGGAATTGTAGAGGCCAGACCTTCTCCTGGCACACATCATCATCAGTGACACCCTACTGATTTACAGGCATTGAAAACCCACCTTCCCTACAGTCATCTTCCTGCTCCTGGGGAGGTGGAAGAATGAAGGAGGGAAATGTCTAATTGCTGATGGCTGACAATTAGCTGAACACATCTCGATAGCCACTTTCCTCTCCCCACGTAAAGCCAAAACAGTGCATAATTTACATGAAAATGTTATTCTGAAGCAGAATTTCCAGCCATCTGTCCCATTCCCATCATAGAATATTCATATATATAAATTACATGGCTGTGGCAACATCAAGGGGCTCCTACATTAGGGTGACAAATGTGTACAGTAGGCAGGGACATAATTACTTGTAGATAGGAAGACTTGCTGCTATTTTTATTACTGGAACTTGTCATCTTTAGATTAAGGCAATTTGCAAGAGGACTAATAAATGTCACCTGAGGATGGGGCAAAGAAGAATAGAAATTGTAGCCAACCCCTGCACTTTCCAGGGCCTCTTGTCATCTTTAGATTAAGGCAATTTGCAAGAGGACTAATAAATGTCACCTGAGGATGGGGCAAATTGTAACCAACCCCTGCACTTCCCAGGGCCTGAAGACACGCAGTGTTTTTCAGCAAAGCTTCGAACCGTGCTCGGGGGACTTGTGAAAGGAATTTTATTTGCCCACTTCCCAATTAAGTGACATTTTATGGATGAGTCTAGGCACGGTCCCCAGTTTGTACCATTAACCTGCTAATGTGGTTTTGGAGACAAAATGTACCTCCCTTTCTCATCTCCTTTTGGTCTCACAGATGACAGAAGGGATTTTTTTCACGAAGCTGCTGGAGCTCACCCTGACACACACTGGGTCCCTTCACAGAGTGGCTAAGAAAGCTCTGGTTTGCAAAGCAACCACAAGAAAGCAGAAGCAGCCTTTAAATCTACATAGTAATACAGAAATCACATTTCATTTCCTCTTCCTTCCCCCCATCACAGCTTGAGATGGGTTCAACGGGCAAGCAGGTTAAGAGGAAATAGGTCTTGGTATGCAGAGGTCAGCTATGATCCAGGAATGTGATTAGTCACAGGGGCACCATGGGTGTCATTTGGAGACATTTAGAGACAGAAAAAAAATACCCTAAGGACAGAGATCTTTTGGCTTCACCCACCCTTGCTACAGGACAGCTGAAGAGATGAGCAACTTCAAGCAATAAAGCCCAAACCGATGGCAACATCCTTTCCTTACCTTCTAGTTGTTTGGGTCTGCTAAAGATGAAACTCTTAATGACCACAGCAATAAGTATTTGATTTTTATAGTGCATTTTTAAACTGAAAGCAAAGCACTTCAAAGACCACATGCTGTTTAAGTTTTCATTCAGAAGATTTGCACACCATAAACTGTGGGGAGTGCAGTTAAGTTACGTCTCAAAACACGAGCCCTGCTCCAGCACATAAACCCAGGAAGGAGTCGAGCCATGTTTTGACCTGACATTTAGACTGTTAAAACCTTCTCCTCTGCAAATACGAGGCAGACAGGTTTCTATGGAAACTTGGATGCATAGTTTAAGCGTGTTTGGCCAACAGGATTTGCCCATACCATGAAGGGAAAGAAATCTCCCTTTGTTCTGACACGAATAGCAAATGCACATTCAGTTCTGGCTGCTGCCCCTTGACTAATGCCCTCTAGATAGGCAACATATTTTAAATGCTCTGAAATTTGTTTATTATTCTCCTAATAAAAGCCTGTGCTCACATAATTTGGTCTGGATTGAACCCAGGGAGGTGAGAAGCCCCTAAACTATCATGCAAATGAAACTTCTGACCAGGCTAACAAGGCAACAGTTCCCAACTCATCAGTGAGCTGTAAATCAGAAGGTTTTACCCCCACACAGAGCATTAAGTGAGAAGCAGATCGTGTGTGCACGGGGAGGGGGCAGGATGAACGAGTGGGTACATGCTTCATTTTAACCAATCAGTGCTGCCCATTAGCGACTCATTAAGCATTTTGCCTTCACCATTCATCAAGCAGCCATGAGGGTCATTTGGCTTTGCCACCCTGCAGATCAGAAAAATAAATTCATAAAACATGAAGTGTGTCCACTTTGCATCAGTCATCCAGGACCGTCACGCTCGGTCAGCTGACTAATTAATTAAGTGCCTGGCTAATAAGCAATGAGGAGCAGGCCCCAGACTCACTTTCTCCCAGGGTCTTCTGAAGGAGGTCGTGTTTGGCTTGGAGCTTTGTTATTAGGTTCCTGCCTTCCAGATACTCCTTCATTTTCTGTGAAGGTGGAAAAAAGCAAGATCAGAAGTCGACAAGTTATTTCTTCAATTGCATCTTTAGGTTACTGGATTCTGAGGTACTGAACGACACTGAAATTTATGGTGCTCAGGATGAACTAAGCCCTCCTGCTTCACATTCCCAGGCAAACCTCAACCTTGGTCCACAGGTATCTGCAGTGCCACTTCTCCTGTTCCACTGCAGGACCAGCTGAACGTTTTGGCATCTCTGAAGCCATCTGAGAAGCTGTCAGGCACCTCCTCTGCAGGCAGGGGGAAATGGAAATGCTTCCCTACGCCTCACGAGCAGCTGAATGAGCAATCTGTTTTAACCAACTAAAAGGCTGCTACTGTGCTTATTCTCTCACTTAACCTCTCTCACCCCACTTTACTTGTCGAATAGTGTGTCTGCCTCCACGCTGGATGATACACAGGGTTGCAGAGGGGGGCACGGGACAAAACAAATAAAGATATTATTTGAGTTTGGATTTGTTCCCTCAGAGAAATATTACACAGCCACACAGGCGTTTTCCCTGCTCCTTTCTGGTTTTTCACAGCTCTGCAAATACTATTTTTTTTTTAACAGCTCTTTCATCTCTCATCTTGAGGTTTAGAACAGCATTATTTATCTTCGCCATGCTGCAGCACATATACTCTGCTGTACAGTAGCTGTCTACATTATAATGAGGACATGTTTACACTCAAAAATACACAAATAGCACATAACTCCTCAAATAGCACAGGCCACTCTTTACAATCATGAGAGATTTACAGAATTCAGCTAGGAAAATGAACACAAAGAAAGGGTTCTCATTTAGTAACTAAATGTTCCAGTTCTTGTCTTCAGCTTCCCCCAATTTTATGCACATTCTTCCAGCTCTGATCTAGTAGTGACAAATTAAGACTAGAAATCCTTAAGGTGAAAAACAGTATTTTAGGTTGTCCCATGCAGGTTGTAACAACAGCAGCCTCCGTGCAAGATGTAAAGCCCCAAAAGAAGCAATCTATACATCTCTACATATATACTGAGGCAGGACTGAGGGTAGAGGGCAAACTGTCAGGATTGACAACACTGGAAGAAAAATGTCACAAGAATTAAGTCCCTTTGGAGACTTTCAGCACTTCCTCCTTCCTTCAAATTCCTTCAGTATTTTTGTTGTTGTTTTAGAAGAGTGATTGCTGTAGGAAAAAAAATTATTAACCATATTTTTTGGAATTTCCCCATAGAATCTGCTCTCCAAGCCCTATGTACTTTGCTCCATCAGTTGAATTTTTGCATCAAATTTGGACAGAAGAAAACATGAAGAGTATAAGCTGCAAAAATAAGTGGAGAATTTGAAGTGAGGTTTGAGGATAAATCTGGTTCTGGGAGGTGCTCCCTGTCTCAAAGTCATGATCAGGTGAAGAGAGAGAAGGGCTAGAAGGCTCAGTGCCAAACAGCTCAATCAGAAGCTTAAAATTCAGCAAATCAACTTGATTTGGAAGGGAGCTGAGCTGCCCTTTGAGGCAGACAGAAAAACTTCAGCTCAGCCCATGGGCAGCTGAGGTTCAGCATGGGGCAGAGCAGGGACAGTCCTGGCACTTCAAGAAGATCCATTTGTGGTGGTCACTTTGAGAACATCACCTGCCCACAGATGGGTACCAGGGGTTGGTTTAAAGAAGGAAAAGAGAAGGTTCCTATCCAGCAGAGTCTTTCATGTCTTCTTTCTGTTTCCTCATGCCTCACATTCTGTACTCTGCCTGTTTCAAGCACGCTTATGAAAAAAATAATCCATTTCAAAATAAGGCTTCAGGCTTCTTTCGATGAATGACAAAGATCCATTAGCATTTGATTTCTGGCTTAATAAAAACAGCCCAAAAAAACCCCAAAGAAGTCAAACTACAGGAGACCTCTGAAGGATTTCATTGCTGGCAGAGCACAGCTGGAGTCAGACTAAGTACAGTCAGCCACAAAGCAGCAGAAACATCCTCAAGTCACGTTATTGTGAAATTTCAGAGGTGATCACTGAATGCAGAGACGGTGAGAATTTGGCACCTCCCTTCTCCTCCCCATCACACCACTTGGAGACCCTCTCTGAGCCCCAGCTCCCTGCAGGGTTTGCCCCGTCGTGAGGTGGCACGTGATGAAGCGAGAGGCGAACGGGACCGTGTCTTCCTGCCTCCAGGGACAGGAGGGACTGTGCTTTGGAGGCTAGAGAGAAATACAGTTTCTTCCACTGTCCCACATCCCTTAGCTGTCCCCAGTCTGGGGAGCTCAGCAGCTTCCCTGCCCCAGGAATGGCTTCACAGCAGGTGCTGGATGGAGGGTGTGGGTGCCCCAGACCCACTCGGGGCACAGGGACACAACCAGCACCACGGTCCCCCAGGACTGATCAGCAGTGCAGCTCTGCAGAAGTCTCACCCGTGTCTTAAGGGTTTGGTAATAATAAATCCACATTAATTTTTAAAGCACTGCACAGGATGAGCATTGTACCAGGGTGGTTTGTTTTTTTTTTTTTAAGAGGAAAAAAATATTTCTACTAAGAACTAAAATGATCCCGTTTTACAGGTGAAAAGAATGAAACCATTCATTCCCCTTTTCACCCCTCAGGTAGGGTGGAGTGCCAGCTGTATTACAACCAGCAGCACAATGTCAGGCATCCTCCTCAGCTCACTGGGTTCTGCTGGCTCGGGAGGCAGGAGTGGTACCCACTGGGCTGGTACTCCCTGGGCTGGTACCCACAGCCAGCACCCAGGTCACATCCCTGGATTTCAGCTCCCTGCAGCCACTGCTGCTTCCCTGCTTGAGTCACCTGCACTGGCTCAGGGCTAAGGCAAAGCTCATTCCTGGGCTTTTCACTGACACAGGGAATTTTAAGCTCCTATACTGAAGAGAAACCTCCTGTCACAGCCCTAACAAGAGCCATCTCAGCACCAGTGTGCAGGGATGTGCCTCCAGTGGAAATACAGCTTATGGCAGCAGAGATACTACACACACATATATATTCCTTCAATTAAATTCCCACAGTGGCATCACTACATTTACCCAAGAGCTCTGTCCAGCTAGCAAGATGGTACATGCAATTTGCAGCTTCATTTACATAGCAACATGGAATATTCTTTCAAATCAGCGTTCTCCTTTCAGTTCAAATCCCTCTGCATTTAGCACACCAGAAGGTACGAGAGATTTAAATCTCTGTCCTGCACCACACTTTGGTTTTAACTCTCTACACAAAGAATGTCTGGTCCCTACTGCCCAGCTCTGCCCTCAAGCTCATCAACACTCCTCTGAGCATTTTTTAATTCACTGAAAAAACTGCTCCTTATAGATTCAAAGCTTGAAATCCTTATAAAGGACATTTATAAATCTGGTCAATAGCAGATCAATCAAGCATCTGATGAGGCAGGTTCAAGAGGGTCTCCATGAACAGCTTCCTTCTGTTGGTAGTTATTTTATGCACGTTGCACAGCACATGGGAGGTTTCACCTCTGTTTGCTGGGACAAAACATAACATCCAAACGAAGTCCCAGGCTCAGTCTCCCATTTGAACTTAACCACAGTCCCTCTCTAGAGAGGGAATGCTTACAAAGTCAATTAAAAAAATCATTTTTCCAGTTTTATAACCCTGGGCAGGGTCATCAATCCCGTCTTAATTGAATCAGTTTCTCCACCCGCGTTTCTCAATAACCCGTTTCACATTCTACAAAGTTTTTTCAATTTTTCTAAGTCAAGACCTGACAGAAGCCACCCTGCCAGCACTGTCATTTGTACAGAAGCCTCAGAGTTTTAACAAGCAAAACCATTCTTGTAAGAGCAGTGCAAAGGGCATTAAGCATAGCAACAAATACCCAAAGGAATGACAAAGTAACCAGGGTAAGAGGTACCATTTTCATCTGCTGTTTTGAACTATTTTTAAAATGGAAGTGAATTCAATAGTTTAACATAAATCTAATTTAGGCAAAAGCATATAGTCTGGTACGAAATTCAATATAAAAAGCTCTTAGCATCTTGTAAAAACATATCGACTCGATTAAAAGCTTATGTGAGCTGAAACTGTAAGATGATAACAAAAAAATGAAAGAGCTAAACATTCTTTCAGCTTGTGTTAGTTTTGAAAACTGATATTTACAGGCTATTAAGTTCATTCTCAGACAATTCCGTTTTAGATGCAGAAGAAATCAAATTTCACACCATTTATCCACAGACAGTTTGCCTCAACAAAGGTATCCAAATATATTTGTAGAGAAATCAAAGCACCTGTTTTTAAAACCTACTACGTTTCCTCTGCTCGTCCAAAATCCATCAGAGAAGCATTTTTGGAAGATGATAGCATCATTTTGCACTCTCTTGTGAGTATAACTCTAAACATATTCTACGTGCCCATGCTGAAAATTAACTCCTTACTGTGAAGTAGAACTGCTCTGTCTCCTGCTGGTTGGCCCGTCGCTTGGCAATGCTGGGTTTGCTCATGAACGTTTCTGAGACCGTGGATTTCACAGACTCCATCGAGTTGCTGTACTGGAAGCAGTCAGAGACATCAAAGTCCTCTATCGTGACTATGTCCTGGATTGTCTGGAGTGTGGCTTCCATAGTCTTCTTAACCTGTCCAGCAAGAATCAGAGGACTTAAAAATGATGATAGCACATTGCAAGTAACAGAGGTGGTAAGAACCCTGGGGCGTTTTCCTACTAAACAGATATTACTGGTTTCACATCCTGCATGCCAGAAATAAGGTGCAAGTTTTGCTCATTAATGGCACAGTCTGTCTAAACAAAGGGTTGTCAGCACACAGAACCTGTCAGGAGCCGGAGAACAACTCTAACCTTACAGGCTGGGATGAGATGCAAGGAAGATTAACCTCAAAGCAAAGAGTGCTGGAACACAGAGCTTATAATCATCTTCTCTAACTGCATCTACTGGGCATCAAAGCTTAGATGTTAAAAACAGGACTTTGCAGGCACAGTGAATTTTTACTGAAGCCCAGAATCAACTTCCTGGACATAAAGGAGTTGCAAATTCTGCCCAAGGAGGATTAAAAGTTCTTGAACACAGAGGTGCAGATTAGGCATTCTGACCTGTTCCCAGACAAATGCCATTGATCTAGTCTTCTCATCTTAGATGACCAATTAAACAAAAATTAGCTCTTTCATGCAAATTCAGTCTTCACCTCAAAACATTAAATTCCTCTTTTTCTCTTAGCTATGCAAATACAACTTTCACAACACAGCCAGTGCTGTGGACTTAAGGATGGGAAAAGAGACACGTGGAGGTGTTTTAAAGGATCCTCTCCACACTTGACTCTCACTTGAGTTCACTAATGTACTGCCAGCCCCAGCTGCCTTATTCTTGAATTTTACTTCAAGTCTTTCTTACTTAGAAGTCTTACTACAAGAACTTTACATAGAAGAGGATCACAGCAACTAGATTCTTGCTTAACTAGTCCCCACTCCCCACTGGAAGGGGTAAGAGGGTGGTTGATGTTGGCTGGTCCCCTCACCTCCTCGTTTTCAATCTTCAGTGTAGATAACCGTGACTGCAGCTGCTGGCACCTCTGCACCAACTCACTCTGGACTGGTTGCTGGGCACATAGCTGAGACTCCTGGAAGAGAAACAGCACTGCTGTTAGAGGGCAAGGGAAAAAACAATCAGTCACATCATCGAGAACGTTGTGTCCTTACAATAATTGAAGGAATTGCATCTTCCAAAGTAAAAATTAAATTCCATTTAAAAATTTTGTAGCCCTGTATCTCAGCCAGTGGGAAAAGTCCATGTTCTGTCAAACTGCAGCTCCCTTCCTGACTGTTGAAAAGTGAGCAAGACAAAGAACATGAGCATGAAAGGACTGGAAAAAAAAAAAATAGCTACTTTCAGTAATGTAATCTCATCACGTGTTTTGAAAGTCTTGGAGGTGCTTTATCACAGACATTAAGCTAAATCATGCCAGGCATCAAGAAGAATTTGGTTCAATGCATGAGCCAGGCACCCTGGGGCAGGGCTACGAGTGGCTGAGCTCGCTCGGCTGAACAACAGGTACAGTTCAGGATTTCATGAATTCAGGGCTGTCAAAATAAAAAAGGAACAGGTTAGAGAGCTGTCAAACATGCCAGAACAGTGAGCTGCCCTGTAATACTTAGTCTTATTTAAAAGGAAAAGCTGCCTCATACTCTGAGGGTTTTTTTTGTTGCTGTTTTGTTTTTTTTTAAAAAAAGAGGAAAACGTTGACCTTGTTGCATAAAGCTTATTTTTTAAAGACAAAAACTGGAATTGGAGTTTTAGCACACAAATGCACATACACCATCATGTATTCAATCTGGTCCATGCAGGACCACTGGAACAAAACCACCAGACTGCATTTAGAAACACACATTTAGCCTTGAGAAGAACCAAGATAAGTGATTCAGCCAATGTGAGCTGTTAGCTGAATGGCAGTCTGCAGGTGATTCTTTTCCTTCCCACGATCTTACAGGATGTTGCAAAAGCACAGAAAAACCCAGAAAGGTCATTTGCAGTCTGAGGGTTTCACTGAAGAGGGAAGAGACAAAGAGGAGCCTTAAACAGTGACTGTAATTCTTTGACCAAAAGAAGAGGCTGGCTGCAAGGAACCACTGGACCCATCCTTCCAATGTTTTCTCAGTGTTCAGCAGGATAATCTAGAAATCCAACCAACTGACCTAAATTATTACATTGTACATGTGTTCCCATTTAGAACTGGTTTCAGCTTGTGTGACTTTAAGCAGTTCCCAGATGAGTAACCACATCTTGATAAGCCTATAAAGAGAGATTTTCATTGCCAAAAATGAAAGTCCTCTGATGGCCTCGTCTCTACCATGAGGATGTGTAAAACACCACTATCAAGCATTTCTGCTCTAAATCACACAGGGAAATGCCTCAAAAGACAGCATTTAAGTTTCTTATCTTGTCACCCCTCCAAATCTCTAACTCCAGAGTCTGTTTCAGGGCGCAGGGGTCCAGTTGTGTGAGCGAGAGGTTAAAACACTTATCTACATTCAGTATGATACCTAATTAAGCATTTTCATCTTCAGATAGTCAAAAAGTGAGTCAGCTGTATTCAGACATCTGTACCACAAGCCTCTGCTTAATCTTCCCATCATCTCTCTCTTCTAAGGCTCCTCTCTACCTCCCAAAAAATGGGGATGCTTTAGCTTAACGTCTGTGATAAACCACCCAAACAAGTGGCTTTGCAGTGGGACAAAGGAAGAAAACAGGCAGAGCTGCGAGTGTTCACAGAGCTGGAGGTGGAGGAGGACCACAAACTGACCATGTCACCCATATGAGGCTGAAACTCGAACTTCATGGGGGGGCAGAAGACGTTGTTGTACATCTCCATCAGGCGCTGCTTGTCGCTGTTGGCGTCCAGGTTCTCGACGGCGTTCTCGATGGCATCCAGCCCCTCGTGCTTCGACTGCTCCAGGTTCAGCTCAGCAGACAAGAACGTCCTCAGAGCTCTGTTGAGGCTAGCGTGGTAGCCCAGGTCACAGCACTGCTGGAAAAAGACATGCAATTCCATGTGGGTAAGCAAAGAAATTCTGTGATGGGAATGAAAACGTTTGTGTTTTACCATCTGCTGGGTACCAGAGAGGTCCCACCTCTCCCATTGATCACTGAAACATCTGGACCAGGGGTTCTCAGAGTTGGCCCTGAACAGAACTCCCAGTCTCTAATCCCATACAAATTCTGACATCATGTTATAAATAGTGTTCAAGGCAAGGACAGCTTCAACTACCTTAACACTCTGTGGAGCTCTCTTGAAGTACTAGAGAGCTCACTTCATGCTGTTAAAAAAAATACAACAAAAAAACCCTAAAACCAAAAAGTAACTTAGAAGTGAGTATGTTCAGTGCATTTCTTTTTATTCTAACCTTACTTTCAGGGGAAAACCTGGAAATTCCTATGGAAAAAATTCCTATGGAAAACACACCAAAATCCTTGAAGTTATTCAAAGAAAGAAAAAAAAAATGCACTAAAATACTACCCAGAGAAACAAGATACAGGATTTGGATCATCTTCAAAGGTTAATCTTCACCTAAATTATTCCACCCAAGCTATAGAAAACTGCTTAATTCAGTGTACTTCAGGAAGCAAGAACATGACCTGCACATCACAGGCACAAAGAACACAGACATCCAAAAAGCAAGCGGTGATCAGTTAGGATGACTTCACTGCTGGGGTGAAACAGAGGAGCAAAAAAACTTTCAAGCAGAAATTGGTCGTGGTCAAGAATTTCCTGGCTCTTACTGACACCAGGATGATGTCACTGGAAGACAATCAAGCAGCTTCATCTCCACCATGGCTGCGCAGCCAAGTCGAAATGTTTCAGAGGGGAGAAAGGCACTTTTCATGAGCTGATCAGAAACAGCCCAAATTTTTCAGACCTCTAATAAAGTGAGAGAGAAGGGAGCCCACCTTCTTGGAATTACAAGCAAGATTACATACTCTAGGAGAATATCCAAAAAGAGAGAGACCATCTGCTTGATTGCTGTGCTGCTCCGTAAGCAAAATTCACATGAAATCTCCTCCTCGTGCATCATTTGGGTCTCATCACTGTCATTGTGTGCAAACGCCAAAAAAAGAGGGAGGGGTGGGGAGAGGGAGGGGTGGAGGGAGAGAGAAGAGAGAGAAGAGAGAGCTGGACCATTCCCTGCTCTCTGGGAATTTCTGTCACCAAGTGCTGCACGATGCCTGGCTCCTGTGCCAACAAGCTGTGGCAGGTGTGGAGCCTTGTAAAAAGAGCTGCAGTTGCTGGTTAGGCTGGATGCAGAGAATTAAAGGACATTACATTCAATCAGAAAGAACAAAAACTAGCCAGAAAAAAAAAAAAAAAAAAAAAAACAAAACCACAAAAAAACCAACAAAAATTTTTTTTGGGAATTGTGCAGGTGTGGAGCCGGCTTTGGACCACCAGCCACTCAGAGCTGCTGCTCTTCTGCCTGCACGCTCCAGGCTGTCTCCCACAGCTATTTGGGGAACGTGAGTCCACGTTGGGCCAACAGTCGAGCCAGGATTAGGATCAGCTCAGACTGAACAGGAGCAGTCCCTCCTTCCCCCTCCTGCTGTGGGTCAGATGGTTGCACACCACCCCAGGGTGACCAGCTCGTCCTCCCTGTGCTCGCCCTCCTTTCCAGAAGGAAAAGGGATCTGCTGCACAAGGGGGGCTCACTGGTGGCACTGGGAAGGCAAATGGGACTTAATATTTCACATTCCACCTCCCTGAGCAGGAGGGCTACATTAAAATGAAGTTTTTTGCCTTTATGGTATTGAAGCCAGTCACAAAACATTTTTCAGCCCACTCTCCCACTTGAACGTTTTCAAAAGTCCAGTGTATTGTATTTATAAATGTATCCATCTTGCCATCCCTTTTCTGGGTTATATAAATGTTTGATGGAATCGTTCTCCAAGGAAATCAATTTTTTATAAGAATTTAATGATAACTCATTCAAATTCACTTCCCAACACGACAGCTGATTAACCCTTTGCCAGTCAGCAGTTATCAAAGAGGCCCAAAATGGAAGATTTAAGGAGAAAGAGCCCACTGTTTTAAAAGGCAATTCACATTTGGCAGGGAAAGGATGAGATCCTGGAGGAAGCAGCAATAGTATTGCTATTCCTAGAAGAGCACAGTGAGCTCAAGGACTCACACATACACACACACCATTTTACCCTCCTTTAAAATTCTGTCCTAGTGACCCTTTCATGAATATGAGCTAATGCAAACTCCCCCATTACTGTAATATTTCATTAGCATCAAAGAACTGCCTCGCTCCCCAAAGTCAGGAAATTCAAAACTACTGGGCTATGTCAGGAACAATTTATGGCTCTTAGCTCACAATGAAGAATGAACTCGCTGCTGTCCTTCCGTGAGCTTTGGAGTGGGAACAATGTGTTGTGTAAACATGATAAGGTTAATGCTGCTTGGCTTAACACAATGTGCTTGTAAGTAACTCTGAAGATTGCTTTTATACTATATTTCAAAATTCAACATGGTCAAGTGATTAGATCAAGGGAAAGAATTAAGAACTGGCTTAAAAATCACATTTTTATACAAGTCAGATGTTTCAGATAACCATCACTGGTTAGAACTATTAATTTTCAACCCATCAGGACCAAAGGCATTAGTAAATCTATATTCCCTGCAACTTAACTATAAGATAAGTGACATGTTAACCAAAAAAAGATCTTCTAAACAGGCAGCAGGTAGAAATGAAATGTGCCTTTTCAGTACAGCCATTTTGCAAAACATGATATTTTGAAATAACAGTATTTTGCAAAACCCCCCAGCTCTGGCAACGCTGACCTCCAAAGGACAGGTTTAAATAAATACCCAGCAGAAGTGCACTTCATGTGATTTTTATGATCAGCTGAATAAATGGATTATATATGCTGTTAGGTATTATAATAGCGGGCTAATTAATAGTGATCAGAGTGCTTTTTATTGCCTGTGTCTAGAGACACTTCTGTTCATTACTCCCCTCTCTCCTACAAAGCAAGATCCCTTCAGGCTTTGCAGTGGATGTTTCCAATAGTGACAGCAGCAGGCTGTCCTTGGCTGGCAGAATAAGATCAAGCAACAGTCAGTGACCCAGACACGACGTGCTCCGTGCATGAGGGGCTCCACATCTGCAGGCTGAAGTGGGTGGTTAAGTATCTGTGAAAAATCTTAGGATTCTTGACTGGCTTTTATGAATTTTCAGAGAGGAGAGATTTGTGGGGTTTTGTTGTGCATTTTACTGAAAGCAGAACTGATGCCCCTCAAATAGCAGGGCCACCATCCAGCTGCAGCAGAAAGCCTGTCAGGGATCAAGCTCCCTCCACCTTCTCCTGCAGCAGCCTGTTTCTGCAAGGAGCACCCTAAGGAAAGGGGGGACTGGTTTCTGTAGCCTGTTTATTTCCTCATTTCTCTCTGTAGACAGAGAGACTATGGAGTGGCAAGCAGCAGAACCTCCATCACTGCTGACACCCCTCTGGCACCTTTCAGAACTGGCCTGGCAGTGCTCTGCAGCCCCAATGACAGAAGCAATGCACCAAGTTGCTGTAGAGCTGTTGGGTTGGGGTGTCAGTGGAGGGAAGGTCTAAAAAGCAGGGAGGTTCACCCCTCTTGTGACATATGCTAGAGAAAGCACTGACACTGAAATATAGGGAATTTTTCAAAACAAGTTAAAAGCAGCTTTACAAAATGCTTCTGTCCTTGATTGCTCTTACCAACTCTCATACTGTTTCTACAGTTAACACTCTTTTTTGTATGTGCTTCTGAGTTACAATCTTGCAGGTTTGCTTAAAATAGTAAATAGAAAATGTCAAGCAACAGTGTGATGCTGAAGCTGAGTTTCATTTTAACTAAGCAACTCCTCCCTCGACACGTTTCAATGCCAGGTTTCTTGTGCAAGCTTCTATCTGTGCAACAGACTCTGAGCCAGCCACCTAAGAAAGGCTCACTTAACAGCTTAATGAGCAATTACCACGCCTGTCCTTACCCTCTGAGGTGCCCACCCAAGCACATCACTCCAGAGGTTACCAGCTGTGCTGGTACCTAAGATGCTGAAGGAGAGGCACAGGGGAGGGTTAATGGCAATGAGAGTCACTGCAGGCACCCGAGCAGCAGCACTTACATCAATGAGATCAGACAGGTCATGAATGTAATACTTGAACACAGATGCATTGGTGGCTTCCAGAGCCAGCAGATACTCGTTCCTTGCTTTAATGGCCTTCAGTCTGTTTTCTGTGTACTTTGCTTGGCGCTGGAAGAGAACCAAAAGCAGAATATATTTTAGAAGAGGTGCAGCAGGAGTAGCAGCATTCCTAGGAACAACAAAGAATACTGAGCAAATCTTACTCTGCTCACACAGCTTTGTATTCATTTGGATTCCAGTTCTATCAAGACTCAGAATTCAGATTAAACGTTTAGATGGTTTTAAGCATTATTTAAGATGCCTATCTGATTGTCCTGAAAAACAAGGTGCTAACGTTGGCCTTTCCTAAATCAGAAAGTTTAAAACTGGTCCAAAACCCCCGAGCTGCATTTGTCTGTAACCAAGGAGGGAACTCAGTAGCTCCAGTGCTGAAGGGCTGCCAAGGCTCCCTCCTCAAGCACTCTGCACAAGCAGCAGCAATGCTATGGAAGTACCTTCTCCTTCATTTTCTCTATTTTTTTGACAGAGCTTCGTCGAACATGTTTTTCTTCAAACTTGACGTTGGAAGTTGAGTCGGGGGAGCGTGGTGTCTGCTTGTCCTCTTGCTTCACTGACTTCCCAATCTGCTTTTCTTCCTGCTTCTCAGCCTCTTTCAGTTTGCTCTGAGCACTAATGCTGTCTGCGTTGTACATATGGTAGGTCTTCATAACCTGCAGACAACGATACACAAGAGTCAGAGAGCACCAGGGGGTGATTGGCTGAGGAAGAAATGGGTTTATCTAACCAACATCCGAGGCATGCACATGTGTTTCCTTCCCTTAGCTGAACGACCAGGTCCAAGGGAGAACAGTAATACAGGGACCTGCAAGGCTCAGAGGCTAGGAGGGAGGAAATATTCCTAAGAAAGAAGTCACATGCTGGGACACTTTTTTATTTAGCCAGTACACTCCCCAAAACTAAGTTTCTTCAAGAGAACTATTTCACAGTAGCTGTCCATCATGGTTACATGGAATTAAAAATATTGTACCAACTAAGCAAAATTATTTGGAGAGTGACCAGCCATTCATATCTGGTTGCTAGCTGCCAGTTAGAAATCTCTAAACCAGCAAAATCCTCAGAGAAATTTCACATCTCAAAAAAGCACAACAGAAGATGCACGAATGAAAGTGTGGCTCTCCAAACAAATCTGAAATCAAAGTGGATTATTTTGCAGCTGCTTCTTTGTTTAACTTTGGCATGTGCCTTCTTGTGCAATCCAATAAAAGAGTCAGAAAACCCCCAAAAAAGATACAGACTAAATCCAGCCTCCTTACTATTCAAAGAAAATTATATGCCAATGTTGGAAAATGATAGCTCTTCATCAGCAGGTAAGGTGTCAGAAGGGATGCCTATCAGTCTTTCATCTGGATGAATGAGTCTTTTAAGCACCACAAATCTTGAAGAACTGTATGCAAATCAACACTCAGAACACAATGGCTGCAGAACCAACTCTGGCTCGATTTGTTTAAATCCAATTTGATCTGTAAAAGTACTTCTGCTCACCCTGTATGAGAAAAATATTAATAGAAGTGTGGTTCTTTTGCTCAGGGAGACCTGAACCATGGACAACTTCTATGATAGCACATTTCCTTGTAAGTAAGTAGAGATAAATATTCCTCAAGTCACAAAAAAAACCCTCCATTTATTTCACAGGATATTCTTGTCTAGTTCTGTGTTAAGAAAATAGAGCCCAAAAGAAAGGTCATAATATACAAACTAGCTTTTTATCTACAAATGAAAAATTCAATTTACATACCAAGGCAAACATTCTGACAACACCACTTTGACAGGAGGCCCCAAAACTGCACAGTTGCAAGAAGACACCCCCAGTAGTGTCATTCCAGCATTATTAAAGACCCCCCCACACCCCATTTCTTTCAGGTGGAAACCCAAGGACACCCATTTCACCTCAGCCTGAACCACAGCGTTGTACACAAGTAGGACTCATGCTCTCTGCTTACACAGGGATCAGCAAAGGCTCTCAGATACAAAGAGACATTGTATTTAAACATGAAAGAGAATATGAACGTAGCCAGTATTAAAGAGGGGCTTTCTGAATAATTCACACACACACTTCCAGCTCCTGCACACCCTTAGACTATCAAGCAGGCGTTTATAATAATAGATGCAAAGTGGTTTCTTTTCCTCTGTCACTGAAAGTGGAACTGGCAGAAAGCAAGAGAAGCAGGAGAAAAAAAAAATTAAAAATCACAATTTGAATTATTTTCTCCTGCTGACGGTGCCACGTTGGCAGCCACGAGCTCTGCCAGCCCCACCTTTGGTGCTGGGGTCACTGTGCCAGCCAAGGGCAACAGCCCAGGCAAGGACTGATTGCATAATTCAGGACAAAAGCTGACAGGTTGTAACAATTTCTATGTTTTGTCTGTGTAGGGAAACTAAAGACTTCATCCATATCCATTTTGGATATGGTTTCTTTCCCTGAAAACAGGGATTCTGCCAATCCTTGGGATACCCAGCAGAAGAGGTGGAAGGATTTCTGAAAATACCAATAACAGCAATCCCACCAGTGACTAAATGGAGTCCAGCAAATCCATCTTTTCATGTGATCAGCACAAGTGTCTTTTGCAAAGGGAAAGACTTTGCTGGTGAAGGGACAATTTAAAACTTTACAGCATAAGGAATGAATAAATAGACTTCAAGCTCCCACCAGCAACACTTAAAAAGTTAATACCCTACAATGCTTTGTTCATGAAGGGCTGAATTCTGGAAGATCTTCCTTTTGGGGATAGGGAAATTATCTAGGACTCAGGACTAGTCCTGAAATTCTCAGGACTGAGTATTTGGCTCAGTGATCTGTCAGAGCCTGCCATGCAGGAGGGATTATGTACATCCATGTGAACTCCACCAACCAGCCACCTTTCAACTTCAGTGCCACGTGAACTTGGGTGAGAAATGAATCTCAGTTCCTAAAAGTCTGTGTTTAGAGACAGGTCTATGTTCTTCCTCAGGATCCCATCCAAGTACATGACTCAAAATCAAATCAGATTGAGCCCTCCACAAAAAAAGCCATTTCTTGTGTGGGCAGTGCTGATGACAGGCACTGCTGCCTTTCCAAAGTTTTGTTCCTACTCCTGAGCTCCCTTTGTTCCTAAAAACTGAGTCTGAATATTTGTCTTCAATGCTCTAATGAAACAATTCCCTTCTATTCATTTTGTTGATGCAGGGAATTTCAGGGAAACCCCCTAAAACTCTCACATTGCTATTAATACCAAATTTCATCACGAGGCTGCTATGCCATGGCTTGAGAAACATCCCTGGATCATCTCTTGAAAGCAGGAAGGACAGAACATGTACCTCAGTGTAATGACCCAACGTATCATGAAGGGCAAAAGAAAAGACACTTAGAGCAACAAAACCCTGTGCAGGTTCTGCTTTTTAAAGAGAACTAGCTCAGGAACAGCTGCAGAAAGCAACAATTTAATCAAACACCAAGCTTTTCCATTCATCTGTGTGAGAAGAGAAGTCTCCAAGCAGCATAGGAACTCTGAGGGATGCATTCCCTCTCCTTGCTGAGGCAGTGCCCCTGCCTGGTGTCTCCAGTGGATAGACTGGGAAGCGAGAGGCACAGATGGAAAACTATTACTCTAAGGGGAGCTGCTTTGCTGCCAGAGTAGAGGAACAAATAAACAGACAGCAGGTCACCTCACTGAAGCTCTACACTGCCTTTTGCATGCTCGGACCACACAAACCCACAGACTGAAGATTTTTAGCTTGTTTGGAAAGAATTCTAACATCTCTGACTCTTCTCAAACCCAACACTGCAGCTAGCAGCAGGTGTGCATTGAAGCGAGGTCTTTGAGCAGTGGAGCCAATGCTTTCAGAGCTGAAACAACATAAGGATAGAGTGAAGAAGTGAGATTTATGGTGCTCTATAGACTGGTGAACACAAGCTGCCCCAAACTGCAAAGGCTGCAGACATTTATCAGCCTTGGTGCTCAGCCTCTGCTCTAACAGCAGGCTGGGAGAAGTCAAACGCTTCTTCCTTCTGCCTGAAAAGATGCCAAGAACTCAGTTTGATTTACCGTGTAGAGTTCATTCAAGACCTTCATCAAGTCTTCCTGGAGCTGCAATCCCACTTCCTTGCTCTGCAAGAGAACAGAGAAATGAAAGTTAATTGGGGAAGAGGGTGAGGTGGTGGAGGAAGCGAGCACGCTCGGCAGCCACCCCTCACTCCAGCTCCACTCAGCACTGCTATTTGTGCTCACAAACCCAACAACCACCCAGCCCTGAGCCACTTGTGGCCCAAATGCACAAAGAGTGTTCATAAAACAGAAGGCAGAAAAGCCTGATAGTGTGGAGAGTTCTGAAGAACGTGGGGTTTTCCTGGAAACATGTAGATTTGCCCATTTTAGCAGCATCAAACGACTGTGACTATAGGACAGCTTGGTATGGAAGTTGAAGAAATGCAGGGTAAGAAAACCAACAGGAATGATATTCCCTTATTAGACACAGTAGCACTGTACTTATTTTTCTAATTTTGCATGATAAACCCACTCCAAGATAAAATAACAAAAAAAGTGGTTTCAGATACACAATCTCTGCTTTGAGCTTCCAATGAGATCCACCAACAGTGTATCTCTTCTTCCACAAATCCCACCACAGCCTGCTACACTCTCTACCTTCCTCTGGTAAATGTTCCTTCACTTCCATATTTCATCACCAGGGCTACAAAAAGAACCCCCACACCAACATTTAAAAACCAAGAAAATTCACTCTGACAGGGTTTTACACACATACATTCCCATTGCCATCCCAATTTTAAATCTACGTGGGATTTACCTCCACAGACAAAGCAATTGCCTTCTTTTTTTTTTCCCCCATTTAACTACAAGGACCACAATATAATTTATCCATATCAACACAAATTGCTCTGTCCTGGGGGACATTAGTGAGCTGCCTAGTTAAACCTAAGGCTATATGACTCATGAAGTTGTTCCCTTCACCAGAACAGCAGAATGAAAACCAAAACACGAGGTGCAAATAGAGACAACTGGTTGTCAAAACCAGCTGACACCTGAAGCAGCCTGCAGCCAAGTGTCCTGATTTTAAAAATATCTATATTTCCTTATCTAACCTCCCTGCTAGGTGACAAGCAGCCAGCACTTCTACATCACAACTGGCCTCAACTACTGCACGATGAGTTGGTGCTGGCACATGTCTGGCTGTAGCTGATGCAGGAACAGATCAGCTTCTGGTTTTCTAATAAATCCCATTGGAATGTCCAAAGATGCTCATCCACAAATCCTGACGGATGGCACCTCTGGATGCAGAGCCCTCTTTGAAGAGGCTTTTGTGCATGCAGGGGAGCTCGTATGCAAAGCAGGGCGAAGCGACCTCCTTAATGAGCTCAACTGTACTATTAATCTTCCCTTCATTACAGACAGGATTTCATGCTAAGACTGTCACTGCTCGCATCCTGAAGAGCTTCCAAGAGGAAAGCTGAGGAATTCAGACACATCAAAAAGCACCCTGAGCTGGTGCAAAGCAAAGGGAAGGTGCAGCCCCATGCTCCAGCCTCGCCGTAGTGCTGCCATGCACACAGACCTCCACAAACCTTTTACTGCTGCAGGAGTAGAAATGATGAAGAAAAATCTCTGCATTTGTAATACAATTTACACCTTTCAGCCTCAAGTTACTACAGAGAGATTAAAGCCAATAAAGTTACAGTTAGACCCAAAGAGACATTTCCCTCCTTTGCTGTTGAAGGCTCTGAGAAGTGATGTCCCAACTCTCCACCTGAACAGGCTGCTGAGTGATTTTAACTTGCTGATTCAGCCCTGTTCTGTGGTGCACATTATAACACCCAATCATCCAGGGAAATCTGTATTCATGATGGGAGCCAGCTATCATCCTGGCCTCGAAGCAAGCAGATGAGATTATCCCAAAACTGCAGAGCTGTTGGGTTCAGAGCATTCTACAATGCACCCTTTAAGGTGAGAAAAAAGGAAGAGGAGGGGAAAACAGGAGAGATCAATCATCAGCTGTTTATAAAGCCATATATTTGGATAAAAACACAACTGAAAGGGAAACTCATGCCAATAAAAAAAGAAACAACCCCAGATTTAAGGATACCAGGCAATTATTTCTTACATTAAGCATGGTTCAGCCCACCACAGCAGGAAGAGGCACTTGAGTCAACCTTGTAAGCTGGGTACCAAAATTGGGGAGCTGCCAGCTTCAACAGCTTGGCACCTGTAACGTGTTTAACTGGAAAAAAACACCCCCAAGGTCACTAGTATTTAATGACAGAAATCTCCAAAATGCAGCCTTAGCCCTCACAGTATCATCTCTGCAATTTTCAAGCCCCTGTCTGTAATTTCATAGCTCTAATCATCCCGAGGTGCAGGAAAGAGATAAAGCACAGAAAATTCCACTCTTTCTGAGGTTTTGTTAATAAAAGGCATCCAGGTCAGTAACTGGAGAAGCTGAAGAGGAGAGCAGATGCCTTGTCTCTCTACACTCACATTTCTATTCATCACAAAACAGGCTTAAACACTCATAATCTAATAACTACGTTTTCCCCATCTCTTCCCACTAATTAGGAAGTGCAAATGCATCTACTGCTGCATGTAACAGAATAAATTTATTCAGTTTATAGATTTTACTCATTCCCTCCTTACCAAGGCAGGGTTTCTCTGCTCAAACCTGCATGCTCTGCTATGTTAGAAGTATATAGTGTCTACTGGCTTAAACAAATTTTATAGTGTCAAGATTATTTATGCCTCCAAAATTCAGGACAGGAAAAGGGTAGAGAGATAATGCTGACAAACTCACACTGAAACCAGCATTTCTGCCTAAAAAGTCAAGATACTACTAAGCCACAAGAAGAAAAAAAAACAACCTAATGATAAATTGAACAGCAAAAAGAGGAAGATTATATAATTTAATTTTAAATTATCCCTTTTTGAATACCATCCAGCTCAGCAGTGCTCAGAATTTACTGTTTCTGAGAGGACAGATGTTTTCTTTTTGCTTCTTTATGTCTGTTGTGATGCACTCTGACCAGCTCAGCAGTGAAATGGGACACAGGAGCAGAAGCATCCACAGCCAGGTCCTTTGTATCTTCATACATTGCAGACCCACATTCCTAAACCTGCTTCCCCACTGGAAAAAGAAGTGTCTGACCCCAAAACTGACAACAGGGAGCATCCTGCTTTTCTGAGAAGTCTTTCACTCAAAGAAAAAAGTGGGTGACTGCCCATTTCCAAGAGTTTGCAGAACCAAGACCTACAGTTTCTCCACCTCTGAAAGCAGCCTAAATAAGCTGAAGCTGCTGCTCATCACTGCAGTGATCTGGGTCGCAAAGATTTCATCACTGCCTTTTTCTCAGCGTTGGAGATGATTAATGAAGGTGACTGGCTGGGGCTGTTCTAAACGCCCTGAGCACTGAACTTTTCACACAGAAGGAGCTTTTCAGCAGCACGCTTCACTGTGCTGGTTAAACTGCCTGGACTGGACCAATCATCTGCCTTTCACCCATCTCTTTTCAACCCATTTGCTTATTTCTGGCATAAAATTGCTCATTCACTGTACAAACTGCTGAAGCATCAATTATGCGAAATAGATTAAAATGAATATTTTAATGCAAATGCAGGTTGAAGAAGAAAAGAAGAAGTGCAAATGCCAAATTGTCAAAACACAAAACTCTTTGTGCTTCCAAATGAGCTCTCGAGAAAGAAGCTGCCAGATTGCTGGACTGGAAAAACCTTACATTAAGATGAAGGTAAGACAGATCACAGGTGTCATGAAAACAGGAGCTATGCAATGAACACTGTTAATTTAATGCTGCTCCCTGTACTGATTCCACCAAAAAAAGACAAATTTAGGAGAAAAAAAGCTGAGCTAGCTGACCCTGATAAATGAAAATACATTGGAGGAAGCAGTTAGCTAGGTGCAGTCAAAAGAAAAGGCCTTAGACATTAGCAAAAAAGTTGTTGCTCAAGTGCTGTAGAGGGTGGTGGACCCAGTGCCCAGAGAACTCCTCTGAGGTCCTGTGGAGTTCGAAGTGCATCCAGATTAAAGGCTGCTGATCTTAACCACTGCCATGCAGGCACAGGAGATTTCAACATCATGCTAGAACGTGGCACAGAATGACGAGTAAAATGCGTGCCAAGGGAAAGCAACAACAGTCTCTGCAGCTGCAAATGTCACCAGGCATCAATTCCTATCTCAACAGCAAATGCTGTATTGTGGTTTTCAAAGGCAGAAAGAGTTGAGTATTATTTATTCATTTTGTAAACAGTCTTCCAGGAAAAATCAATCAGTAAAATAACATAAATGTTATTACTATCTAGTACTGTACCTGCAGCTAGAGTCTCTCTGGACATCCCTCAAAAAGCCTTAGGAGGGGTTTGTGCCACAAAATCTCATCTAATTGGCTCCACTAATAAACTGTGTGTGCACCCAGGGATGGGATGTCTCCTTCTTATCCCATCAGGGCTAAGCACTTGTCCTCTTGATCTGGGAGATTATCTGGTTTGATGTGGATCATTAATGCTCCTGGAGGATGGCACAGCCTGGAGCAAGGGGCAGGGGGAGAGCAGGGTGCCCACCCCACCTCCCTGTGCTGCCCAGCCACAAACACACGCTTCCTTTTTGGGGCAAATCAGGAAAATTATCCACAAGCACCCAAGAGAAGGAGAAAGTCATTCCAGCACGGTGACAACAGTGGCTGTTGCCCAGGAGTGCTGACTTGCAACCTCAGGATTTTTCTCCAAGCTTTCTCCAGCTGCTTTTTCAGCCCCAAAGAGGAAAGCAAAGGAAGGTGCCCTAAGCGAGCGTGCACACGCACACACACACACGCTCACACGTGCACACATACTCCTTTGTTACACCAGGGTGTACATGCCCCATGTGCAGAGCTGTAGGTTGCTGCCACCCCTCGCTGGAACATAAATTCCCAGCGCACCGTGCCAGCTCCTCAACGGCCTCTTTGTTCCAGCCCTCCTCCCCTCCACCTCCCCTCTAATTCAATCAAGATGTTTTTGGGATCTACTGCAGCACTGGCTCGGCTGTTCCGCATTCCACCAAACATTAACGACTTCAGCTTCAAAATATTTGGGGGGGGATAATAAATATGAGAGCT